GTTTGGCCATAAGAAACCTGATACAATGTGCTTGAGACGAAATGAGATTGTCTGATATAAATGCAGGCAACTCATTTTGTCTGTGCCAGACTCAGCTGCTACAGAAGCACATATTTTTGAGGTAAAAAGTTATGAATTGGAGTCTTAGAAGGCACAGTCACATCCCCAAGTTCACTTTCTGCTTTGTTTCCCTCATTCTACTAAGCTGCAGAATGGATTCTGAGTGTTCAAACACATAGGGTGTGAACTGCAGCACAAATCTTTAAAAACTTCAGTTAACTGGGGTGTGAAAAGACAAGGAAATTTTTTTGGCAAAATGCACCTCTAAATATGTATTGAAAGCATCAAAGAAACCAGGAAGAAGAAAAAGATGAAGAAAAGAGCAGGACGAAGAGGAAAAGGAAGAGGAAGAGGAAGAAGAAGAAGAAGAAGAAGAAGAAGAAGAAGAAGAAGAAGAAGAAGAAGAAGAAGGAAGAAGAAGGAAAACAAAACAAAACAAAACAAAACAAAACAAAACAAAAAGTAATGCCAATGTGTGGGGTTTTTTCTCCAATGCCTCAGCCTCATTTAGAAAGGAAAGGATCAAAATTTGCAGAATGGAAGGCTCACTGTGGAAAATGGACTTTGCACCAAGGCACTGATGGTGTGTCTGACCCACTAAGAATGTCCAATCCATGGCAGAGCCTGGAGCCTGATGGAGGCTGAGGCCAGGACCCAGGGGTTGAGGCCCCTGGGGCTGAGGTGGCAGAGTCTATGCTGCATCCTGATGGCTCTGCCTTATTGGGCCTACAGGGCTGTAGCATGGATGCGGTGGTGGAAATGGGTGTAAGGCAGGAGGTGCAGGGCTCCTCTGCATGCTGCACACTCCCTGCTTGGCCTGAGCACAGGAAGATTCAAGTCCTTCATGCTGGAAAATGAAACTCTGAAGAAGATTCTGGGTGTCCTCTACCAGACACAGATGAACACAGTGACTTCTCAGTTAGGGAGGCAGGACACCCACCACAGCGGGATTCGCATGGCTTCATATCTTGGGGGTTTAAAAGTTAATTATGAATGATGTGTTGCCTTTCTGAATAAAAAGACTCCTTATTTTATGTAACTATAAAGTAAATCTTGAATGTTCTTCTATATGCGTATCCTACATTACATATAAAAGAATACTAAGTCATCCATTTCCACTCACCTAATCAAGAAAATACCAACTATTTATTCTTAAGTGAATTGAACAGAAGTAATACTGAATGGAGCACTATAAATAATGCAGTGAAAAATAGAATGGAAAAACCCCAAAGGCATCCCTCCCAAGATGACAGGTCTGCCATTGACCAGATCCTTTCTCCTGTCCTCACCTGCTGTGCAGGCCTGTGTCTCTTCACTGCTGGGTGGAGAGAGAGCCAGGACACAAGTTCTCTTCCATCTCAGGAAAGATCAGGGACATGACCTTCTTTCAGCATTTTCAGTGGCTGTAATTTATAATTAACTCAGCAGCTGTGCTGTGGAACATTCATGGTTTCTAACAGTCCACACCTTAACTAATTAAGAAGAGAATAAGGTGTCTGTCAATGTCATTTTTATAATGACCCCTAGAAGTGAAATTTCCAGGTTAAATGTATATAAGATTAACTTGAGGGTCGCAGATTTTACACTTGAAGCCTCAGCATAAAGATAGAGCCTGGTAGAGGAAGACTGAGTCTGCTCAGATCTATGTGGAGATCTAAAGTCAGAGAGATGGTCCAGGCAGAGGTGCAGGACACAATGGCACCTAGCAGGAACCATGGCTAAAAAAGGCCCAGGTCCAGGCTACCTCATCCTTGAGTAAGTTCTCAGGAAAGCATCACATACTGCATGCTGGACAGCAGAGTGCTGGAATAGTTCAAGAGCTCCTCCCTACATGCCTGAGGCCCCCTCTCTCACTCAGGTGAGCTCTGTATGAGAAGGTCAGTCTGTTACAGAGCCCAACCTGACTGAATGTTTTCCACCCAGGTGCAGATCTGAACTGCCACATGTGGACTCACCATAGCTATGGAGCAGGACAGATGTTTACAGGGAGCAGGTCAGGAGATGGGGACACTGCAGGCAGGTCAGGGTATGAAGCCTTAAATAAGAGACCAGGCACTCACCAGGCCCAGTTTCCTCCAGCAGTAACCACATCCTGCAAGAATGTGTATTAAATCTGAGTAACTGAAAGGAGTTACTCACAAAATTATATATTATAGAGATAGCTTGAAGATACAAAAGTAAATGGTAGCATCCTTAAGTAAAATGAGATGTGACCCTTAATGGATATGTGGTGTCCATTGATGTCCCCAAACCACATGCATCAGAAGGAAATAGCCTGATGAAGAGAGCAATAAGGTGCACAGACAATGTGTAAAAATCACAGCTGCTTAATAACAACAACAAAGCTGGGATACAATAAATGCACTGGTGAATTTTATCTAGTATATAATAAAGAATAAATACTGATTGTTTTTCAATTCTTCAATCAAGTTGAAGGAAAAACCACCACCAAATTCTTTTATGTGACAAAATAATTCTGAGAATGAAGCCAGATAATAATAATGTGTTAAAAATAATATAAATGAAAACACTCTATTGGCTAATATTCCTACCAAACATACAGAAACATGTTCAGCTAAATGTTTGCCACGTTAACTAACCAGCATATTCAAAATTAACCAACATGATCAATACTGGGCTCAATCTCAGTGGTGTAAGAATGGTCCCTCTCTCACAAACTATCTGTTTCCACTGGTTTTAACATGTTGTATCTTACTATATTTTACTATATGCGATAGTATAAAGAAAAATTTTTATAGGCAAGGAGATAATATAGAAACCGTTGTTTGTTTTCTGTTAACTGGTTCTAAATACCCTGTAATTTTTTCATTCTCTTGAATGGCTTCACACTGTCTTGATATGCTTGATGCTATACTATACAAAGTTATACTCAAACAATTCAAGGAATGAGGCACTATGTTGAATACTATTATGTTAGATTATCTGGGAGTGAAATACAATGATGCTTAAATTGTTCCATTCTGACAAGTGTTGTTCTATTACAATGTCCTCTTTTATCTCAATCTCCATCCTTTTTTTAAAAATTAAACTATTTTTCATTTTTTTTCAATTAAGGGAAAACTAAATTAAAAAATATTGGGATATATTATAGTAACTATTTGTTTTCCTATTAACCTGATTTGAACCCCAGTATTGCTCTCCCCATCTTGTTCTGTCTGATTTTACTATATTCTATTTGTTTGATAGTATCAAGTTTGAGGGTATAGGCAACCACTTTGAAGGAAATAAGATTTACTATGATACCCATTATAGTTTGACTATTATCTTCTTTTGAAATCTTGTAAGGTCTCCAGTCTAGGTTTTATTGGTCTTGTTCTGTCCTGTTTTGATCAATTCTATTATACCTGATGATATAGGCAACTCTTTTTAAAAATAGCAAGAGGCACAATGGTAACCATTTTTGATCATCTGATACTCTATTTTTGCATCATGTCCTATGCCCACCCTTCTGTTCTAACCGACTCTGTTTTATTTAGTCATGTTAGGATTTATTCTCTTCAAAAAAATGTAATAAGAACTGTGGGAGTAAAAAACTCAAAAAGTGTAATTGTTATTGTAAAAAAGAAAAGGAAGGTGGTCTAAGAGATATAACTGCATGCTTGTGTGTGTAGGATGGAAAACCATATTACTGAGCTTTTGTTGGATCATTGAACAGAACTTTCTGCAATCTCACTGTATGAATGTCCACTTTATATGCTTTAATTTTATAATTTGGACAACTGTTTCTAAGATGACAAGATGTAACCTATTAACTAGTGATTTCTTATTGAATTTTTTCTTGAAATTCTGTATTACTTGTACCCTTTTACTGCTTTGTTTTTTATTTCCTATCTTTGTTCTCTTTAATTAAAAAATAATCAAACCTGGAATGGATATCATTTATTTATTTATTTATTTATTTATTTATTTATTTATTGGGCACTGTAGATCCAACTAGTGACCTCACACTTGCCAGGCAGGTGCTTAAGCCACTGAGTTAAATCCCCAGCCCACCAATGGATATCTTTTACATGTTGTCATCTTCTGAGAAGTTGCCTCTTGTCTTGAACTTGATACTAGCAAGCATACCCAAAGTGAATAAAATCAGTCAAGGCCAAATAACATTCAAACAAATCAGCTTCAATGAGGATCAGTCATAGAAGACAATGTAAGTAAGATAGGGTTTCAGTTTTAGTTAATAGGAAATTAAGGATAGTTACCATGGTATAACCTACTATTTTTGGGTTATCTCTGTGTGCCCTCAAATCTAATATTAGTAGACAGACCAGAACAAAATATAACCAAACTAATAGAGCAACAAGACTACTGTAGATTTTAAATCCTGATACACTTTTAACAATGTCCTCTGCCTTCTTTTTTTAGGCAATTCCTCACCTTTCTCCTTCTCAGGATACTATTATTTACTGTTCAGAGTGATATTAGTCTAGTCTCTTATGTTACATTTCAGCATACATAAAGATAATGACAGCTACTATGAAGAGAATAAGAGACATTATGGTAGTCATTATTGACTGCCCCAAAATCAGTCTTGAAGACCGAAAAAGACTGCATCACCCTGTAACTATTTGATTAGTTCTTTAATGTTTGGGATATATTCAATGTGTGTGAAGATGGGAACAACTATTTGGAAGAAAACTAGAGACAGTAAGATAGACAGTGAACATCTGCAGTGGACTTGCTTTGAAATCTGTTTCCTTAACTTGTTTCCTTATGAACTCTTCTGTTCTGTTTTGTCATGTTTAATCTTACCCTCTTTAAGAACAAAAAGTGTGTAGGACAGATAAGCATATTAAAAACTTTTTGTTGGATCATTGAGGTGAACTGTTGACAGTGTCATTATTTGAATAACACTTTGTATGCTTTAACTTTGTTACTTGAACAACTACTTCTAAGATGACAATATGAAACTAATCAACTAGTGATTTCTTATTGTTTATTTTTCTGAAATTCTGTATTATTTCTACACGTTTTCTTTTTTCTCTTTAAATAAACATTACAATTCACCAAAAATATAAAATTTAAGTTTTACAGAAAAAATATTAAGTACATAGACACTATCCATACTTGAAAGTGAAAAGCCCATTTCAGTTTAGCATGTTTAATTACAAGATGCCATGTTGAAGAACAAAAACATCTAGATTAAAAAATCTAGAGAAGTACAAGTGATTAACTGAAAACCATACAACATGTGCACCTGAGGAGAGCTCCACCTCAGATTTGTCATTTCTGAAATATTTGTGAAGAAATATTGACATTTAACTTCTGTATTGATTATTTCTTCAGGTCTCTCTGCGATTTTTAAAGTAAATTTAGATCTAAACTGTCTGAACAGTGACACTTTTTCTATGTATTTAACAAGAAACATGGATTGCCATATTTCTCACATTGTTTATCCACATAGGATCTCTGCCCAGTGAGCTCTTTCAGATATGTAACAATGATCAAGTATGCTGAGAGTATTCCCATAACACATAGGATTGATCTCTTGTGTGAGTTTTTCATGTACTTCACTTATAATCTGGCTGCTGAAAGTGTCTCCACTTGCTTACATAGCCAGTGGTTTTTCCCAGTGTGAATTCTTTCATGTGTTTTGCAATGACTGCATGTGGTAAAAGCTTTGCCACACTGTTATATAAATAGGGTTTCTCACCAGTGTAAAGTCATGGATGTATTTTACAATATCCATGTGCGGTGAAAGCTTTCCCACATTCTTCACATACACAGGGTTTCTCAATAGTCTAAATTTTATAATGTATTGCACAAGGAGCATTTCTGCTGAAACCTTCCCCACATTCCTTACATATATTAGTTTCCTGCCCAGTGTGAAGATTTTCATACATTATGCAATATATATGTGTGCTCAAACCATTCTCATGATGCTTATATACTCTGCTTTTATCTTGAGTGTGAACTTTCATGTTGCTTACAATATCCATGTTGGGTAAAAACTTTCCCACATTACTTACATACATATGGTTTCTCTCCAGTGTGAATTCTTTCATGTTGCTTACAATGTCCAGAGTTGGTAAAACCATTCCCATATTGCTTACATACATAGGGTTTTTCTCCAGTGTGAATTCTTTCATGTTTCTTACAATCCCCCAATGTGATAAAAGCTTTCCCACATTGCTTACATATATATGGTTTCTCTCCAGTGTGAATACTTTCATGTATCTTACAATCTCCCCGTGTGCTAAAAGCTTTTCCACATTGCTTACATAGATAGGGTTTCTCTCCAGTGTGAATTCTTTCATGTTTCTTACAATATCCATGTGTGGTAAAAGCTTTCCCACATTGCTTACATACATATGGTTTCTCTCCAGTGTGAATTCTTTCATGTTTCTTACAATCTCCCCGTGTGCTAAAAGCTTTTCCACATTGCTTACATAGATAGGGTTTCTCTCCAGTGTGAATTCTTTCATGTCTCTTACAAACTCCCCGTCTGTTAAAAGCTTTCCCACATTGCTTACATACATATGGTTTCTCTCCAGTGTGAATACTTTCATGTATCTTACAATCTCCCCGTGTGCTAAAAGCTTTTCCACATTGCTTACATAGATAGGGTTTCTCTCCAGTGTGAATTCTTTCATGTTTCTTACAATGTCCATGTTGGGTAAAAGCTTTCCCACATTGCTTACAAACATATGGTTTCTCTCCAGTGTGAATTCTTTCATGTTTCTTACAATCTCGCTGTGTTTTAAAAGCTTTCCCACATTGCTTACATACATATGGTTTCTCTCCAGTGTGAATTCTTTCATGTTTCTTACAATCTCGCTGTGTTTTAAAAGCTTTCCCACATTGCTTACATACATACGGTTTCTCTCCAGTGTGAATTCTTTCATGTTCCTTACAACTTCCAAGTCGGGTGAAACCTTTTCCACATTGCTTACACACATAGGGTTTCTCTCCAGTGTGAACATTTTCATGTATTTGAAAATGAATTTTACTGCTAAAAGCTTTCCTACATTTCTTAAATATATGCGATTTCTGCCCAGTGTGAAGTTTTTCATGGATTACACAATAAGTGTGTGTGCTGAAAGCTTTCTCACAGTGCTTACATTCATAATGTTTTTCTCCAGAGTGAAGTCTTTCATGTATTTGACAATATGTATGTGTTGTAAAAGCTTTCCCACATTGATTACATATGTAGGGTCTTTCTCCTCTGTGAATTCTTTCATGTTTCTTACAAATTCCAGGTGTGGTTAAACCTTTCCCGCATTGCTTGCATACATAGGGTTTCCCTCCACTGCAATATTTTTCATGGACCTGAACATTGTCATGTGTTTCTGTTTCTTTCGCATTCACATTACCTTCTTCAGTACCAAGGAAGACTTCTTTACACTGATTCCATACATCTCCAGATGTATATCCATAGGATTTCCCTAGCTTGTCATTTCTGTAAAGAAAAAAATCACATATAAGATTTATAACCATATTACTAAGTTTTTGTTGGAGAGTTGAACAAAACTGTTTGCAGTCTCACTGGTTGAATCCCCACTTCATATGTTTCACTTTTGTATTTCATAACTATTTCCATGAGCAGCATATGTAATCATCATCTTGCGATTTCTTACTGTTTATTTTCACTTTGAAAGTAGCATTATTTCTACTTATTTTGTTTTGTTTAATCTTTCCTTATATAAATTTAAAAAAAAGAAGAATTCACAGTAAAATGGGTCTCTGTTTCATGACTGCATTAATGTCAAGTTCTGTTTTTAATGCCTGCTAAGAAATTCTTACCATGAAGCAACAGAATGGCCTTGTAAGATATGTTGAAAACAACCATTCCCAAAAGACTGGCACACATTTAGAAATCTTAAAAGTTGGTACTTTGAAATGCAGAATCTTTAGCTTCACTTTGGGCATGGGCACATATGTGTATCACATACAGATTATTCTGATATGTTTCCCCATTCCAATCTCCCTTCTGTCCTTAACCTGTAGTTTCCTTTTCCATATTGTCAGTTTTACTTTTCTCTATCAAGTTTCTTTCATTTCATTCCACAATTTATATTTTGGTGTCTCACCTAAAAGAAACCCTGTGACCTTTTAGGTTTTATAGCTGAGCTATTTCACTGAATTGATGGGTGAAAGACCCATCTATTTCTTATGGCAAATGACATTATATTATTTATTTTTTGACATTATATAACACATTTTTTTCTTTTCTGGGCTGGGAATTAACAACAGGTATTGGCATAAAACCTGTAGCTTTTTAAAAATCTATTTTAAGAGATTTTCACTGATCATTAAGCTGTGAAGTTTGAACTTGAATTTGCCATTCTGCAAAATCTGATTCCCAGTGTGCTGGGTTTACAGAAATGCACAATCACAGAACATCTATTAACATTTTCCTTCTCCACAAATCCAGTGATAGATAGATAAGCTTCAAGGCCTGATCTGTTATAACTTGATCTGCTTTGTATATGAGTAAGCATGTATCAGTATTTTATGCAGATTTGAGATTTTAAAAATATCCAGGACAAGTGTGAGGGGATCAATTTCTAGAGACAACTGCATATTGATATTCAAAATGAGTGCAATAACATTCTACCAGCCTACTAAGAATATTAATCAGAATAGCTGATTCTCTAGAGAATGGCTTGGAAACATGAGCACTCAGTTTTATTTCAAATTCTATTGCAAACTTAGCAATTGTTAGATAATGAATGTGTGATATTCACATGTAGACATGGGTAGAAAAACTGAAGGCAACTCAAAGTGTATTCTTTTCATATTCATCTATATGCAATGTCATACATTTTCATGATTTAATTCCCTCATATATACACTAGCTTATACATCTTCGGAGAATATTACTGACATTAAATTGAATGGTGTCTCTTTCTTTCGTTGTCATTTTTCTGCTGACTCACTAATTCCTGAGGAACATTCCTCTGCTTGTGAGTGGGAATTACCTTAAGTAGCTCCAGTAAATTTTGCCTTCTTTTTCAGCTTCCTGGATATCCCCGAGTCCACCTGAATTGTAGACATAGAAATACCAGGACTCTTTAGAGTAATACATACAAATTAATAGGTTTTGTTTAGATTTATGATATACTGTGTCCAGGTCTAAGATATTTTTAAAAATGTTTTCATATTCTTTTTCATGAAACAGCACTAATGAGCAAGAAACAATATTCTGACAGCATGAGGGGCAAAAAGATTTCATCCTTACCTATCAGAGTCATGTTCCTAAAGGTTTCGCCCATCACATCTCTGTAGAGCTTCTTTTGGGATGGACTCAGCAAAGCCCACTCCTCATTGCTGAAGTTCACAGCCACATCCTCAAATGTCACCACCTCCTAAAGGATCATACATATATTTCTCAATGGAAGGTTGAGACCCCAGGTTTGGGATATCTTAAATTCTCTCCTAGGAATCTGAATCAAAAGCAAAGTGTGGTGGTGCATATCATAATCCCAGCACTCAAAAGGCTGAGACAGGATGGCATCAGTGAGGTCAGGGCAATTCTAGGCTCCATAGGGTGTTCAAATCCAGCTGATATACATACAGAAAGCTTGTCTCAATAAAACAAAATGAAACTAAACAAATACAACCAAACAAAACAGCTGAATGAAGACTGATTTCTTTGAATTTTAATCCATGCCTTGGTCATTAATTTTGTGTATATACACATTTTTGAAGACAGGAAATTTGATGCTAGATTGCAACTCACTGCAAATGTAAGAGCCAAATAGGAGCAGTGATTCTTGTGCTGAATCATGGCAATATTCCCAGTGCACTGTCTCTAAAGCAGAGCTCACAGTGAGAAGCCTGCAGGATGAGCAACCACAAAGCACAGAGGCAGATAAATATTCCATCAATTGACTGGAAGTTCAAGCAAGCACCTCCCCTCCCCGGTCAGCAGTGGTGGTTTGGCAAATTGCAGCCCTTGCAGGGGGAAAACCAGCAACAGCTCCTGAGATCCATGCCATCCTGGAATTTAGGACACTGGGAAGCCAGTCAAGCACCACTTCTCCCTGGTAAGTGGTGGCAGTCTGTCAGACTGCAGCCCTTCCAGGAGGAGAACCAGCAGCAGCTCCTGAGATCCATGCTATGTTGAAACTTAGGCCGCTGTGAAACCAAACAACCAGCCCGTCTCCCTAGTAAGCAATAGTGAACTTACTGATGCACCACCTAGAATCAAACATCCCACTTCCCTACCCCTCTTCTCCTGTCACCCCCCATTAGCAAATGGGAACCAGAAATCTGAGCGTCTCCTGGGAAGTTGACCGTAGCAAATAAGGGGGACTTCCTTCTACTATTTCTTTTAAGGAAAATGTTTTTATTATTGTTTCACTCTATTCTGATTAATGGTACTGCTCTATTCAATATTCTGTTTGGATAAGTTCTATAATGTTCTGTATTTCATCTCACTTTGATATATGTGATTAAAGAACAACTATTACAAAGATAACAAAATATACTGTGATACCTATTACTGTTATCCCAGTAACCCGTTGTGAAGTTTTGTACCAATTTCACTGTGTGATCTTAGTTGGCCTTATGCTGCCTTGTTCTGTTGTATTTTACCAATTTCAATATTCAAAAAAAAATCTCATCAATCACTTTGACAGACTACAGATGATGTCTCTTCAAATCTCATTTAAGCCAATGAGTACTTTGTTCTTAATATACTTAAGCAGAATTTTGAAACATTAATTTGGTTTCATAGAACAAAACATAAGTAACATCAAATATGGTACATAAATAATAACTCAAGTGTTAGTGGAAAACGGCTGTATTTTTAAAATATGTATATAAAATGAAACCAGGCCCAAGCTGTAAATTATATCTCACTGTCACCAAGTGATCACTTTCAATTCAAATATAAGAAATATATCTTGGGAGGCTGGTGAAGGAGTTCTTCCTTGAAATTGGGGCTATCCTTAGTTACAGAGCTGTCTAAAATAGACAATCCCTGACTGAGACACCGAACAAACAAAGTGAAACTTAAAAAGAGACTGCATAAGACATCTTTGGTTTGTTTTTAAAACATTATAGGCACACAATACAGAAAAATTCCAACAATACACAACACTTTCTGAGGAGCAATGTGGATATCTTCCATCTACACAGAAAACACTTTCATAGTTGGGTATTTAGCTCAGTGGCATGAACGCCTGCCTGGAAAGCATAGGTCATGAGTTTGATCCTTGGTACAAAAAAAAAAATTCAAATTTCACTTTCATGACGCTGGGGCATAATTAGAGATAATCAAAATTAGATCTCAGGTATGAAACACAAAAATAATGGGTTAACAGGGATGTGGAATACTGATTGTTGCCAGAGCTGGTGTTGATCACCTCAATGAAGCAATCAGAATCCAACTTTACTTCATACTTACTCTAAGAACTACCTGACTTTCAGTGAAGACCCTCACTGTTGTATGTCCTGCTATTTGCTTCCTGCATCCTCTCCTGTCAGTCACTTCCACATCCTTTCCATACTCCTCTGATCCATCCTAAGCAGAAAACCCGTCATGCCTAACTATTGATATCACTGCCAAATTTCTATTTAGGACTTCTCATTTACATCACTTAGATAAGTCCATTGCAGAGCATCTCTATATTTAAACTGTCTATGAACAACCAAGCTACTAAATAGCTCTTAACTTAGAGATGACACCCCTATTCCTTTCCATTTAGAAGGATATCACGTGTATATGTCCATGCAAATGCCTAAATTTTGGAATTTTTCGATGAGAATTTAACAGGTAGCCCTTTCTGGAATTTGTCCTTCACAAATATTTACCCTGTCCTTGATAACACTTTCATATTTGCTTCATTTTTCTCAGACTTCAAAACTCTATGGCTTTTCTTACAAACCTAGACTGTGAGTGGGGTTGCCACCTAAATTATTAAGTATGCTCAGAAATTATTTTGCACTGATCTGTATAATACACAGGAGTTCACCAGGTGTTTGTGAAGACTTTCTCCACTGAGGCACACTACTACAAATCCCTGAATTGTCAGGACCTTTGTCACTACCTGTCCTGAGGATGGAAATATGAGAACATACTATAATTTAAGGAGATCACTATAAATACAAAAAAGCCAAGTTTAAGTTGAGCCATTGTGGCTATGAGGCCACACAATACAGACATTAATAAACTCCAGACATTCCAGATCTGCTACTCTGAGGAAAGAGAGCAGAGATCAAGTTCATTACTGCTCTACAAGCTACAAATCATCATGGTCAGGGTCTTCCCAAGCTCCTTCCAATGCCTAATATGGTGGAGTTACCAGGCTAGCAATGAATTTGAAAGATGATACTTGAGTCTGCTGCTCTCATAGTGAAGCCAGGGTTTTGGGGACCCCCAAATCACCCTTGCCAAAGCAAGAAGCAAAAGGGACAGTGAATGACCCATGGGCAATGCTGCAGGACCTCAGAAGCTGAAGCTAACTAAATACCTGGGGCTCCAGACACCGGAACTACTCCTAAACACTTGTAACTGTTTTCACCCAATCCATCCTATTTCTGGGCTTCCATCCACAACCTCACTATTCCATCGTTCCAGGATCTCTCAGGTTTTTTGCTAATCAGGCCACAGGACATCAAAAGTATTAAATGAGATCCAGCAAGCATTTTGCTACCACTATTGTACTCAGAACAGATAAATCATGCTGAGACAACAGAAGAGACAGAAGTCACAGCCAGCAATGGCCCACCTGATTGGACAGTTCATATAGCCTGCCCTTTCATCACTTATTGACTCTTGCTCTACTGCTCTCCTTCTGAGTCAAGAATAAACAGGGAAAGGAACCCCTCCCTGAAAGTGAGGGTCCCAAATGATAGACTGTATTGCAGAGACTTCCAGAGCTGTCATTCTTCTACAGTGGTGAACTCAGCTCAACAGAGCAGTGTTTGTACTGAAGAGCTTTACCTCAGGCCTTTAATTTTCAAATCCGTTTTATTTCAAGGAAAAAAGAGCACATCAACTAAAATTGAATTTCAATACATGTCAATCAGGGAGCAAAACTGGTATATACATTGCACATTGTCATCCCCAGTCATTCACCCAGACCACAAGACATCTCTAATCAGTTTTCGAAATAGTCTGTTACAGGCACCTGAGTTACTTAAATACTCTTGGCATGAACCAGGGCTAGATCCTCCAAGGAGCCCATGCAGGAGACCAGATACCTTGCAACTATGGGGAAGACTGACACCTCATGATATGGGCCAAGGCTAAAGACAATGATAAGCAAATTCATCCATATCCTAAGGATAGATATTCTAAATAGTTCCCTAGCACTCTGAGGAAGTCAGGAGTCACCATTCAAAGAAATGTATCCTTATCCTAAAGAGTGACATTCTAAATAGTTCCTATCATACTGAGGAACTCAGAAGTCACCCTCCCAAACCCCTAAGGGAAGAGTCACAGCTGCCTAAGAATGCCTGCTTTCTATGTGATTCCCTTCCCCCTTTGTTCCCAATTTAATCAGCTTTACCTGAACTTAATAATCCTATTGGGTACCATAGCTCTTTCTCATCTTATGCCCATTTGCATTGTGAGTTCCTAGTTTTCCCCACCTTAAACTCATTTCACTCATGATTTTATTCTATAAAGTTCCCTAGAAAGGACAATGTTTGGCAACCTGCTCAGGACTCCTTCTCTCTCTCAGGCAGCTTTCTTTCTTTCAATAAGTACATTCTTCTCTTAATCTCTGTTGTTCCTAAAATACATTATTTGACTTTACAGAAAAAAAAGCTTCATATCAAACATAGTAGACCGGGAGATTCATTCTGCTATAGCAATATAGATATAAACATTTCTCTTTCTTAAAGTCAGAGAAATCAGTTGAAGTTTGTATCACACAATGTTGATCTCACCTTGCCAGGTATAATTGCATTGAAGGCCTTTATCTGTGCATTTAAGTGCTGCTTCTTTTTCTGAAAGTGAACTGATCTGTAATTTTGGTTATGGAATCTAAAATGCATTAAGGAAATGACTCAAAATTTCTTATGAATGGTTTACCACCAGCCGTGGAGGAAGGCAGAGAGCAAAAATTCTTTGTTTTGATTTCTTCATTCAAACCAAAGGATGTACTTGAAAGAGTTTTGCCCTAGAAACAATTACAGGACCTCATGGTGGTCGTTCAAGGTGGAAGAATGTGAAATCAGGGGTGCTTACTCATATGGTCACTTTCTCTTTTCTCCTTGATTACAACTTCCTCTTTCCTTCCCAGGGTCCTAAAGAAAATTCCCATCAGCTCCTTGGCATGACATAAATGTCCCTTCCAAGCACCACATGCAGTCAAAGTCACATATACCCCATATCCCCCTAGTCAGTCAGAAA